TGTGTGTCTGTGTGTGTGTGTGTGTGTGTGTGTGTGAGTGAGTGTGAGTGTGAGTCTGTGTTTGTGTGTCTGTGTGTGTGTGTGTGAGTCTGTTTGTGTGTCTGTGTGTGTGTGTGTCTGTGTGTGTGTGTGTGTGTGTGTGTGTGTGTGTGTGTCTGTCTGTGTGTGTGTGTGAAGAAACATTAATACCCATTTATTATCATTGAAAAGGAAATGATGTCATGCATTTTCCATGTAATTTCTTCACATACTTAATTAACGAGCTCCTCTGATGGCGTCACAGGTGAGGTGAGCTGCAGTCAACGCTCTCCGCTGCCTCCAGCCGTCCGTCAGAGCCCAAACACCAGCAGACAGACGGACAAACACCTGGACAGAGACCTGCACCTGGATCTGTCGGTCAGCAGCGGCGCAGGAGAGCCGGAGGACGAGCCGCTGGACCGCGAGGAGGTGAGCGTGACGCTCTGACACGCGTGTATGTGCGCTGATGTCAGCAGACCGTGACTCTGAGCTGTGTGTCGCTCCTTCAGATGCTGAACTCCTTGCTCTCGTTGAGGAACAGCGCTGCTAAGAAGCGGGCCAAAGTCAGCGCGAGCAGCTCTGAGCCGGATCCAGACAGTCCAGACTCGGCGGTGAAGCTGGAGCTGGTTCCTGATTCTCCGGAGCAGACGTCTCCATCCGTCACCAGCCCTCTGAGCGAGAGCGGCCTGAGCAGCCTGTACTCGCCCCCGTCGCCCAACGGCACCAAGAGCAGGTCAGTCGCTCCGTCTCCGGTGTAAACCAGTCCAGATCATTCACTCAAAACTAGAGGTGGGCTATATACCAATAGACATGATAAACCGACAGAGATTTTGGATTATTGTCTCTATCATGCATACGTGACGTTGTAGTGCTGCACCCTCACTAAAAATTGCAAGTGTTTTAAGCCTTACTGGATTAAACATTCAAGTGATTTTAAACAGTTAGCCATGAAAGAGCATTCAGTTCGGTTCTCGAGCCGGTTTCACAGCCGAAGCACGAGCCCATAAAGCTGCTTGTCACTAAAAACTTTTGCATTTTATTGCACTTAAATGTTCAGATACATACAAAAATAACACAGATTTGTTTTGTTACTGAATGGATCCACGGTTTTAATTAGGGCTGTCACGATTCCGTAATTAATAAAAAAAAAAACACAATTGCATATTACGTACGTGTGTGTGTGTGTGTGTCAGAGCGGCTCCGTTCACAGTAAATGCTGAACTCTTATCATTTACACGTGTGGAGCATCTCAAACTCCATCTCTGCATGCTGCTGTGAGTTTGGGTTTATTATGACGTTCATCTGGGAACGGAGCATGCACCATTTCAGTTGTAAGGTAAATCATTTATAAACGTCCGCAAAGCCCAGGAGAATACATCAATATCTTTCTCAATATGCTAACTGACCCCGTGTTTAGGATTGGGAATCGAAAATCGATTTCAACTCCAGAATCGGATACTTAATGTCAGGAATCGGATACTTGTAAAATAATACGTAGTAGGTTTCACAAAAATAAAACGGAGCAAATAAAGTGTAATGATATTAATAAACACAGTATTCTTCCACCAAACAATGTAGCTCCTCAGAAACAGTTGTGGTTGCTACAAAGTGGTTGCCGAGCAACACACAGACGTAAACAAAGGTGTGTGTTACTTTGTAGCGTCATTTACAACAGCTTCGAATGTGGCTCAGCCAATCAGAGTCAAGCACCGGAACTCTCCGCTTCCACCTATCGATTCCTGTGTTTTTTTCATCTGTGAGGACTGGAGCTAGCGATCTGCCAGGACCTTGCTTGCTACGCTAATCTAAGCGCTCCAAAGTTTGGCTAGACTTGCGATCAGAAGCCGAGAAAAAGCTACGTATAATATCTGTGATAAGCTTAACATGTTGCAAGAGAGGTGTCACCACCAACATGACAAAGCACTTTAATTTAACAGATCGTTAAAGATCACGAACACGATTCAAACAGCAACGTGATTCTATTCCTAAATTACAATGAAACAAGTACATCTTGAGTCATTGAATCATTCATTCATAAATTACATGTGATTTTGTTTAGTTTGTTTTGTGTTTTTCTTCAGAATCGGGAGAGAACCACAATCTCCATAAAGAAAACAAAACAAACAAACCCCCCCACCCTTCAATTTATCCAGAATCGTGCCGCTCTATTTTGCATGCAAACAGCTCTTAAGCAAGTCCAGTTTTTATGTAGCCTGCTGATTTTTGTGCATGGTATTCAGCTGCAACTAAATCTTTTGCAAAAAGAGACGCAGAATAAATATGTTTTATATCATTTTTTAATTAATCACATTGGAATCGAAACTGGGAATCGGAAATAATCTGAATCGATAAGCAGAATTGGAATCGGGAGTTGATCAAATTCAAACGACACCCTGCCCTACCTGTGCTCAAGTTCATGTGTGTGTGTGTGTGTGTGTGCTAACAGACGCTGTACAGTAGTTTTAATTCTCATTTCTGGTTTATTTCATGACTCTAGCCCTGTGAACTCTGCTGTGAAACCACGAGTGCCATCAGGAAGACACGTCACAGCAGACGTCAGCGCTCGAGGTGTGTATGTAAAGCACACGAGCACAGCTGCGTGCGTGCTGTCAGACGGTGTGTGTTACGTGTCCTCTGTGTGTGTGTGTGTGTTCATCACCGCAGATCAGAGCCGCCGGCCGCGAGCCGCTCCGCGCTCTCAGACCCGCTAAAGGTGAGCCGAATTCAGTAAACCTTAGACATTACCAATTAAAACATTTCTTTGCTCATTTGTGTGATCACAAATACAGTAAAATAACAGTGAAATATTATTACAATGTAAAACTATGTGAATATCTGTTAAACTTGTAAGGTCCACACAATTGGCCCAAGGACGGTATCCAATGGTAGCTGTGAAAGTTATTTTTTTGTAACTTATTTCAAAAAGAGAAACTTTCATATATTCTAAATTCATTACATGTAAAGTAAAACATTTCAAAAGTTTTTTTTGTTTTAATTTTGATGATTAGAGCTTACAGCTCATTAAAGTAAAAAATCCAGTATCTCAAAATATTAGAATATTTACATTTGAGTTTCATTAGATGACCATCCCTACAGTATAAACTCCGGTTATCTCTTGTTCTTTGAAACCACAATAATGGGGAAGACTGCTGACCTGGCAGTGGTCCAGAAGACGATCATTGACATCGTCCAGCTCAGTTCAGTTTAAATAGTATCTGTGCAATCAAGTCCACGCTGGAAATGAAGTGTCCCCAACTAAGCAAGCCAGAGGCGACAGCGGCAAGGAACCAAAACTCCATCGGTGACAGAATGGAGAAAAAACCTTGGGAGAAACCAGGCTCAGTCGGGGGCCAGTTCTCCTCTGACCAGACGTAACAAGTTTATACAATTTTTCCTCTCCTATAGTTAGGGCTGGGTATCGAGTTCGATACTTTTTAGGCTCCGACCGAATTGCTGAATTGTTCGACTAGAAGAGGTGCGGCGCAGATCGATCATCCGCGAGAGCGATTCGAAAGCGCACGGAGCAGTCTGCTCTCTTTAGCTCTCGTGGTACTGTAATACCAGCAGTATAGAGTAGCGCGGGAGCTGCGTGGAGTTCCCATCATATGCAGATGTTCGTTCATACTAACGTTACACGACCGAAAGCGCGTGTTATGTGACCATTCATGCAAACTGTAGCATCATGCTATATAAGACAATAAATAAGTTTTATTTTCCGCTTTTACTCAAAACTCACTTTAAACCACCATTGAGTGTTTGTAATAACTTCCGATTGCCGTCTAACAGGGCCAGATTTACGCATTGCTCAAGACATTGAAAACACTGCTGGTGTTGGTCCACTGTGTTTTATCAAGTCCAAAGTCAATGCAGCCGTCTACCAGGAGATTTTGGAGCACTTTATGCTTTCATCTGCAGACAAGCTTTATGGAGATGCTGATTTCCTTTTCCAGCAGGACTGGGATATTTTCAAGAGAAAGATGAGAAACAGTGGGTCCGAGCTGAAGCTCAATAGTGTCTCAGCAGAGCCACAGGCGGATCGCTTCCATTCACTCCTCACTGATGCTGGAGTCTGTGCTGAAGGAGCCCCGACCAAGTATTGAGTGCAGAACTCAACATACTTTAAACAACTTGAGCTTTTCTGTTTTGCAAACCCTTTTTTTGATTGATCTTAGGTAATATTCTAATATTTTGAGATACTGGATTTTTGACTTTGATGAGCTGTAGGCTCGAATCATCAAAATTAAAACAAAAAAACTTTTGAAATGTTTTACTTTA